TTCCCTCTATTTGATGACATTAGAAATACATCAGGATAAGAACAATGTTCTCTTACAACATTAGAGCAATGTTTAACGTGTTGGCTACATTTAATACGACAAACGTTGAAACTTAATGAAAATTTGGGCCTAATTGAAGATACTACGGGGTTAGCGAGTTCAGGCGACGTTTTATTGAAACCGTAAATAAAATAAGGAAGTTTCCGATTGTCTTCGCCCTCGCTGTAATTACCAAAAACTTTATCTCTTTAAAAATTGACGCGAAACCTATTTTAAGGTGTTCGGAAATGTGACAAAATGTTTTACTTTTTTTTTCTGAACAAATCTTACATCCAGGTATCAAGAGTATAGTAGTTTACTGTTAATTTAAAGTTGACATGGAACGGGAAATGATGGACTCTTCTGAACAAGAATACATTATTAACAAAATGAACCAGACTTGAAAAAATACTGAATTTCCTTTAATAGGTTCGAGCAAAAGTAGAGTTAAAACAATAAGCAATGCTTGAAATAAACTATGAGACTTCAAAGGTTTGTTGTGCTTAGGGGAATTAGTCGCTGGAACAATTCGTGCAATATATATAGCATAATACAAAAACAGTTGAGCTTTTCAGAGAATTTTGACCAGTGTTTGGTGTTTACAGTAAAGAGAGCAGCTGCAACAATACCTGAACATTCACCTAGGAAATTAAAAGTAGGATCAAGTAAAAAAAGTTATAAAATTATTAATACCTCCGAAAGATAATACTGAGAGATAGAAATAAAGTTTCTTGCATTTTTTTTATCCTTAATATCTGCTGCGCATGATCACCATGATTATCAGCTTATAATTCTAAAAGGCGCGTTATTTATTTGAACTGATTAGACCGTTTGGATTTAAAATGTATGTAGATATTTTTTCTTGTACATTTTTTTGCATTGTTATCAGAATAGTGTATATCAAACCTGCTACTTACGTTTGTATCGTTCTCATCATTTACAAAGGTACGAAAAAGTGATTTAGGTCAAATGAGAATAAAATTTAAAAACATATAGAAGTAATATTATTTTTTCTGGTAGCGCTGTTAGTTTAGTCTTCGTGTTAAAGGAAATATAGAGCCAAACTGATATAAATCCGCGAGGAAATTATAAAGTATATCTCATACCTGTTTATCTGACATATGAAAAATCACACAAAACCATTTTCATGTTCACTATTGTTTTATTTATGTAAAAGCTAAAGATTGATGGTATATGATAGAAACACTGGAGCTGTTCTGGTAACTAACAATTAGCGTTAAACATGATATCTAATAGTTTTAGGACGGTACATAGACATAGACGATACACAGCAAGAGTTATCCATCCGGGGACTTACCAGGGTGGGAAACTGGCGAGGCATTACAGGTAGTCAGCAAATCTCATTCACAGCATTTACAACGAATACTCAGTATTGAGTGATGGTCCGGTACTGAGGCCATCACGTCATGTAAAAAAAAAACAAGAATATTAAGACAATCATGATCCGTACCCTGATAAATTAAAGATATATGATACTGTTCGGGTTCAAGCGGAATACACTAATAGTTACGGTTATGTCGATTTTAGAGTAGACCAGTCGTGAGAGACTATTGCAATGCTATGTAGGTGTCTTGAATAGCGTAATATGAACTAATAGTGTTCTGTAATTGTTGTAATACATTTTATTATTGCACGTGCCACTCACGGAAATATCACCTGATAATGCTTATGCTATAAAGAATTAAAGACAGGATGGATAATTAAAATGATGCTAATGAGAAATGTATTTACACAATATAAATATCTCTCCGTCATTTTGGATATTTACGTTTCATTTATCTGTCCTCGGATACGTTGCCAGTGATGACGTAGGATGTTTTCGACCTTCTTCAGTCCACTAGTGGTGTTAAAAACTGACCACTCATTACGGGTGGTCAACGAATCATTTTATGGGTATATCGGAAGCTAACAATAGTGATCACTTGTTAATGACAACCCGCCGCTTAATCCGACACGCAATATTGGTAATCTAGTCAGAATAAAGGTCAAAGGTCACTCGAACCCTAGGTGGAATGTAGGTGGAATTAACTAAAACACGTGTAAAGATGACATGTAAAGTGTTTTGAAATGGTCTGTGAGATGACGGTAAAAACAAGACGATCGTTACATTGGGAGCGCCGCCTCAGACAACATGGACTGGAACGTTACAGGTATACTAACCGTACTTTAAGACGGATTCCCTGCCATTTATAACCAAAACAAAGCTCATGTCCATCACGCTAAAGCGACAACTGTTCGTCTTACCTTAAAGAGACCAAGACATTTCTTTAAAATATCAAGGCATGATTTGAAGAAAACAATCTAGTCTGGATTGGCTAGGTTTGAAATAAATTTCCTTTATTTTCCGATACTTGATCTTGGCAAATATATTACAGATCATGTACGACACAAAATGAAGTGCACCATCAGGTTATATCCTAAACAAGAACTCTAATCGTACAGAATCTCTTGGATAAAGTATACAAAGCACATTTATGCAATACGGACATAAACTCTCACACAATTAATCTGTGTACCAAGTTTCTCTCACAGTTTATATATATACCAAATCTCTCTAACTATATATAGCTGTCCTCAATCTCTCTCACAGTTTATATATATACCAAATCTCTCTAACTATATATAGCTGCCCTCGATCTCTCTCACAGTTTATATATATACCAAATCTCTCTAACTATATATAGCTGCCCTCGATCTCTCTCATAGTATATGTTATGTACCCAAACTCTCCCACAGTTTACAGATGTATCCAAACTCTCCCACAGTTTACAGATGTACCAAATCTCTCTCACAATATATAGCTGTCCTCGATCTCTCTCACAGTCTATATGTGTACACAGTCTCTCTCACAGTATATATGTGTACCCAATCTCTCTCACAGTACATATGTGTACCCTATCTCTCTTACAGTATATATGTGTACCCAATCTCTCTCACAGTATATATGTGTACCCAATCTCTCTCACAGTATATATGTGTACCCTATCTCTCTTACAGTATATATGTGTACCCTATCTCTCTCTCACAGTGTATATGTGTACCCAATCTCTCTCACAGTATATATGTGTACCCAATCTCTCTCACAGTATATATGTGTACCCTATCTCTCTTACAGTATATATGTGTACCCTATCTCTCTCTCACAGTGTATATGTGTACCCAATCTCTCTCACAGTATATATGTGTACCCAATCTCTCTCTCACAGTATATATGTGTACCCAATCTTTCTCACAGTATATATGTGTACCTAATCTCTCTCACCGTATATATGTGTACCCAGTCTCTCCCACAGTATATATGTGTACCCAATCTCTCTCACAGTATATATGTGTACCCAATCTCTCTCACAGTATATATGTGTACCCGATCTCTCTCATAGTATATGTTGTGTACCCAAACTCTCCCACAGTTTACAGATGTACCCAATCTCTCTCACAGTATATATGTGTACCCAATCTCTCTCACAGTATATATGTGTACCCAATCTCTCTCACAGTATATATGTGTACCCAATCTCTCTCATAGTATATGTTGTGTACCCAAACTCTCCCACAGTTTACAGATGTACCCAATCTCTCTCACAGTATATATGTGTACCCAATCTCTCTCACAGTATATATGTGTACCCAATCTCTCTCACAGTATGTATGTGTACCCAATCTCTCACAATTTACAGGTGTACCCAATCTCTCTCACAGTTGAAGTTTTGTACATAATCTCTCTCACAGTTAATATATATAGAATCCGTTCTAAAAGTTTATATTCATATAATATTTGTTTGTGTGAATAAATTTTTAATAAAAGTTATTTTGGAATATAGGATATTCATATATACATTCCTAAATGCGGCTTTGTTTCATTATCTGTGAAACAAGTAATTAAAAATTGATTCTGCGAAATTTCACGAGAAAATAAAAAAAACTTCCGGAGGAGTTTCATAGAGTTACATATGACACGGATACGACTTTAAGACACCTTTATCAACTAAGTCAGAAAATCTATATTTCGATATGTTTTAAAGTCGAATATAGTCTTCATTTATTTATTTCATTTATTTGTCTTTTGTTCTAAAGTGACGTTATGATGAATTTCAAAACCCACCAACTAAAGAAATTGATCCAACTCTTTGAAATAAATAGACAAATTAAGTAAATAGATAAATAAGTAAATAATACATAATATGTAAATCAATAGATTAAATGTAATTTTTTGTAATATTTCTGTCTTATTTTTGTGAAAACACACACTGTATTCATAGAGGCGAAATTAAAGAATTATGCTGTTTTTGTTGTCTTTACACAAGTGGAAAATGAAGTATTTCTGTATTGTTGACTTAAACACAATGCACACTTTTGACAAAATAACCGAACCGTATATTTGACCAGAAAATATACCCTCAACAAATAAATAAATCGCGCATCATATTGGCTCGATAGACACTCGTAATACCTTAAACGCAAGCCTACTACTGTACGTAATCCCGATTGGGTTATCAAACAAGCATTCTCCTCATCGTCATTATTTTCACTGCATTACGTTAATAAAGTCTTCATCGTTTCATTGATGACAAGTGCTATCTGTTCTGTCAGTAGTGAAAGACTCCGCAATAATCATTCAGTGTATGATATTGCCTACAAGCAGATGGTTATTTCAAACCGTGTCTGCAGACATAATACTTACCTGTAACAAAGCTGACAAATCACCCGGCTTAATACCTCGCGGGATTTCGTCATTTGACACAAAAGTCATAAAACGTCTGCCGTGCGACCCTCCTATCCTTACCAATATGACCGAAATCTATCGCTTGTATATATAGTGTCGGACAAGGCGCAAACTGCCCTGTCTTTATGTCTCATCCATCACACAATGACGTCCCCCTTCACTAATGAATGTTTTATTGTATGTTCTCAGGATTCCCTTTCAAAAGCACCTGAGCAGTATGCAGCGGTCAGTCTCGGTTGTGGAAGGCATGCCGATGGAACCAGCAGCAAACGACAAGAAAAGCCGGCGCTCTTCATGTCCGCCCGGCTCTGGACAAGAGAGCACTGTTTTCGTCAAGCGACCCCCTTATACACAGGTAGCTTTCGATAATCTTAATCTCAAAGAGGGCGAACCTGACAATAGGAGTCTGGGTACGAAACTTCGAAACAAGTGTGACTGTTCGGCAAAATGTGTGTTCAAACAACTCAGCACGTTTCTTCCAATTATCAAGGTTTTACGGTACTACAATTTCAAGGAGAACCTTTTGGTGGACGTTCTGTCCGGAATCACTATCGGAATCCTCCACATCCCTCAGGCTCTTGCTTTCGGTTTACTGACATCTGTAAAAGTTGAAAATGGTCTTTACACTTCTGTCTGGCCGGTGATCCTGTATGTGTTTTTTGGAACGTCTGCTCACGTTTCCATGGGAACGAGCGCCGTGATATGCATTGTGACTGCAAGTGTTGTGGACCGACAAGCAGAAATGTTCAAGGATTTGAACCCACATCTCATGACTGGTGGAAACGGAACATCTAATTCCACGTTCGAAACATGGGAAGATATTCCAGAATTTATGGATTATAAGGAGAACGTGGCGATCAACATCGCTTTGTCCGCTGGACTTATCATGATGTTAATGGGATGTTTCCGGCTAGGGTTTGTAACCGCATACCTGTCTGAATCTTTCTTCAGTGCGTTTACCTCAGGTGCTGCCGTTCATATAGCAACCAGCCAAATCCCAGCACTTCTCGGTATCAAGACCCCCCGTTTTGGCGGCGTGTTTAAAATCATCTATACGTACGAGGCTATCTTTGGTAAGATACACGAAATGCAGCCGACGACTCCGATAATAGCAGTGATTAGTATTGTTATATTGTTCTTCGTGAAGGAGTGTATCAACGAACGATTTAAACACAAACTCTTCATTCCGATCCCAGTGGAACTTCTGGTGGTCATTTTGGCTACAGTATTATCTTTCGCGATTGGCTTTGACGAAGAAGCTGTCGCGGACGAGGACAAAGTGTTCCACGTCGCGGTAGTAGGTCAGTTGACCTCCAGTTTCCCTGCGCCTGTATTTCCTGACTTGACTGGCATACAAAACTACATAATTGACAGTTTTGTGATCGCCATTTTGATTTTCGCCAACACCATTGCCATGGCAAAGATCTGCGCCAAGAAGCACAACTACGAGATAGATGACAGTCAGGAACTGATTGCGTACGGTATGTGCAACTTCCTCAGTGCGTTCATGTTGTGTTTTCCGTCTGCTGTCGCCCCTCCAAGATCAATGGTTGCTTCCACCATGAACACCAAGACAACATTCACCGGGGTTTTCGTTACCATCCTCATGTTGCTTGTAATCTTAGTGATAAGCGCTCTGTTCAAACCTTTACCCAAGGCTGCACTGGCCGCTATTATAGTAGTCGCCCTGAAAGGACTTTTCGTTCAAATGATGGATTGTAGAAAGTTCTGGAAAGTCAATAAGTTTGATTTCATCATATGGTTCTTTACCATTTTCAGTGTCGTATTCCTTGATATCGACCTTGGTTTAGGTATTGGTGTTGTGGTATCCCTTGTCACTGTTGTGTTCCAGACCCAATTCTCGCGAGGTTATCGTCTGGCCGTGACTTCGAATGAAGGTATCATGGTCGAAAGCAACAAGTACAGAAACACACGCGAAATTCCAGGAGTAAAGATCTTCCGTTTCCAATCCAATCTTTACTTTGCCAACGCAGAAATATTCCGAAACACTTTGTACAACCGGACAATAAATCCAAGAAAATACCTCAAAATGCTACAGAAGCAGAAAAAACGCGACGAAAAGGCAGGCATAGAGAAGAATGGCGATGTAACGAGCAGTTATGTAAGCCCATCTACGAAAGCCACCGACATGAAACACGATATGCAATCGATTAGTCTGGACTCAAACGGGAAAGACATAAGGCAGAAAAAAGAGAGTGTAGTGTCAAACATATCTAACACTAGCGCGGACAATCCAGCTTTTAGCGTGTCCGAGGAAAATCTTGTTCCTGTCGGAAATGGTAAGTTTAACGGAACACCGTCACACAACTTCCTTACGATCAGTAACTACCCGCTTCCGAGCAGACGATTTAGTGTGGCGTCGAGCATCAGTATGATGACGGAGCTTGAAATTGACCCTGTAGACGGAAACGAGGTTGTGAGTGACGAATGGTTGGAACGGGCCAAGAAAATTCACCATATCATCATCGACTGCTCTACCATGAATTATCTGGATATTTCCGGTGCAAGTGTCCTCAGTCACATCTACGCCGAATATCAACATGTGAACATTACCGTTTTCCTTGCCGGTTGTTCGGCAGACATTCGTAACACCATGGAACATGCTGGCGTTTTTGATAAAATTCCTAAAGATAACTTTTTCATTGATCTTGAAGACGCCATTTCAATCGCTAAAAACATGGCCGTACAGCCGGTACCAATCAATCTGGCAGACTTTTCTGATGACGAGGCTGCTGAAGACTCTTACATTACCCGGATGTAGTGTGCAAGCTTGCCGTACGAATAATGCTAGTTTGAGCTATTATTTGTTATGAAAATGTATGTTATGTATATAGTTAGATATACGCACACACATATATATATACCATAACTGTTTCCGTGTCTAAATATACATATATCATTTCAGTTGTTTCTAAACTGTTTCCAATGCAAAACTTTCACATTTTGTTTCATAAACTAATGTAGATGGTAGATTTCTATATATTCTTATGTACAGTGTTTATCCAAGGAAAAACAATATAAATTAAGAGAGAGAGAGAGAAAGAGAGAGAGGGGGGGAAGAGAGAGGGGAGAGAGAGAGAGGGAGTAAGGGAGGGAGGAAGAGAGAGAGAGAGAGAGAGAGAGAGAGAGAGAGAGAGAGAGAGAGAGAGAGAGGGAGAGAGAGAGAGAGATCGCTGATTAACCCGCAGTGCTGCCTATGTTGTTTTTACACATGAGGCATTGTATAATAGAATAAGCAATGATGTTCTGAGAGGAGGTTAATTGATAAAAGTCCAAATTCCTGTCGTCTGCTCGTGTTTACTAATAAGGACATGAAAGTTGTAACCGACACAAAGTCTTCCAATCTTAAGGTGGCAGTTTCAGGTGTATTAATGGTGGAGATCTGCTGAAACAAATCATTGGTGTATTTCTGTCAGCACGTTTTTTTGTGGGATAGTTGATGTGATTTCCTGTGTTACTAAAGAGTGTTTATCATGTCAATGAGTGCAAATAAACAAAACTCACCAAGAATATATTATTTCTTATCTTATTCTTGCATAATTTTCATTAATTATTTTCTCACATAATCAAGCATTGAAATTATTCAATATATGAAAATACGAAAGTTCACTATGGGGCTGCCGCAATTCCCCGTCTAGATTTCAACATTTCTTTCAATCACTTTAAAATTTTCGGCCGTCGCCTCCTGGGCGCTTAGCTTCACTGACGAGTCTTAGAAGGACAAAACAGCTGTATGATGCAGCTTAATTCATCACTTAGTTCTACTTTATCTAACTCTAAATTTGTATTAAACGGCACTATTCACTTGCGAGTCTATTACATAATCATAGAGAGACGATTTTAAGATAGATTTCTCTCATTTAAAACTGTAAACCACGTGTGAATACATACTATTATAAATTAAATAGATGAATGTTTGATATTACGAGGAGTATTTTAAGTAGTCGCTCAAATCGCTTACGACAAGAAATCTCAAATGCCATGGAAAAGGAACATGACAGGACCTATACTGAAAAGACATTCGAAAATTGCACTTTGATTTGAGAAATGATTTTATAAATAACTAGGAGGTCTGAAATGAGAGCATTCTAATTTTTCTTGTTTGTTTGGAAACATGCATATAAATGGTGGTCAAACATGGTATGAAACTGTTTATGTTTCACTACACGTTCTTGAGTAAGAAAGTTTCAATACAATTTTGGTTTTGTTTAGTAATTCTGCAAATTTTGTGCTTGTGTTTCAATGTCTCTTCAGCAAATCAGCGACACATTCTAAAACTCCCACGTATCAACAATACGCTGGACATAGCATGGATAAAAAAAACATTTGTTCACTTTCGAGATCAAAACCGACAGCGGCATACGTTTGGGAACGAAATGACAGCATGCTTTTGTTTTAGAACACAAACGACATAACAACTTAGGGAACGAAACGACGATATAATTGATTGTGAGAACGAAATATCTGCCAACCATCGAAAGGGAAGCAATGACACATATGAACAAAATGACGACGCACTTCAGACAACAAAGTGAGGACACACCTTCTATGACAAAATGATGGTACACCTCTGAGAACAAACTAATTGCACTTCTTTAAGAGTAGAATAATGACATACCTTTGAGAGCTAAATACTTGAACACTTTTGAGAACAAAACGAAGACGCATCTTTGAGAACAAAATAATGGCACTTCTTTAAAAGTAAAATGATTGAACACATTTGAGAACAAAATGATGGTACCAATCAGAACAAAACGACGAGGCAGTTATGTCAACAAATGAGGACACATTTTTGATAACTAAATGATGGAACACCTTTCAGAACGAAACGACAGATGACCGTTAAGAACTACAGTACACAATAATGATGACAAAACGGCAGAGTGACTTTGAGAATAAAGTGACAGAACACATTTAAGAACAAAACGACGCTACACATTTTAGAATGAAACGATAGAACGTTGTTTAATCAGAAAGCAATATAACACATTTGAGAACAAAATAAAACGACAGAATACAGTTTAGAGCGAAACATGAGAAAACGGTTGTGAACAAGACGACAGAACACATTTCAAAACAAAACAACGAAACCCTTGTGCAGAGATATGAGACAATGATTTTTTACACGAGAGAGTGGAACAAAAAAAACCTACTGAAACTAAAACGAATCTGCAACCGACATTTTAAACAGGGACATACACACTGAAACTATTCGAGAGATTCTGAAAGGTAACGGGATGGGGGACAACGTAACAAGAAAATACACACTGAAACTATTCGAGAGATCCTGAGAGGTAACGGGATGGGGGACAACGTAACAAGAAAATACACACTGACACTATTCGAGAGATCCTGAGAGGTAACGGGGCGGGGACAACTAAACTGGGGAACACACACTGACACTATTCGAGAGATCCTGAGAGGTAACGGGGCGGGGACAACTAAACTGGGGAATACACACTGACACTATTCGAGAGATCTTGAGTGGTAACGGGGCGGGGGACACTAAACTGGGGAATACACACTGAAACTATTCGAGAGATCCTGAGAGGTAACGGGGCGGGGGACAACTAAACTGGGGAATACACACTGACACTATTCGAGAGATTCTGAGAGGTAACGGGGCGGGGACAACTGAACTTGGGAATACACACTGACACTATTCGAGAGATCCTGAGAGGTAACGGGGCGGGGGACAACTGAACTTGGGAATACACACTGACACTATTCGAGAGATCCTGAGAGGTAACGGGGCGGGGGACAACTGAACTTGGGAATACACACTGACACTATTCGAGAGATCCTGAGAGGTAACGGGGCGGGGACAACTGAACTTGGGAATACACACTGACACTATTCGAGAGATCCTGAGAGGTAACGGGGCGGGGACAACTGAACTTGGGAATACACACTGACACTATTCGAGAGATCCTGAGAGGTAACGGGGCGGGGACAACTGAACTTGGGAATACACACTGACACTATTCGAGAGATCCTGAGAGGTAACGGGGCGGGGACAACTGAACTTGGGAATACACACTGACACTATTCGAGAGATCCTGAGAGGTAACGGGGCGGGGGACACTAAACTGGGGAATACACACTGACACTATTCGAGAGATCCTGAGAGGTAACGGGGCGGGGGACAACTGAACTTGGGAATACACACTGACACTATTCGAGAGATCCTGAGAGGTAACGGGGCGGGGGACAACTGAACTTGGGAATACACACTGACACTATTCGAGAGATCCTGAGAGGTAACGGGGCGGGGGACAACTGAACTTGGGAATACACACTGACACTATTCGAGAGATAACGGGGCTGAACTTTGAATACACACTGACACTATTCGAGAGATCCTGAGAGGTAACGGGGCGGGGACAACTGAACTTGGGAATACACACTGACACTATTCGAGAGATCCTGAGAGGTAACGGGGCGGGGTACACTAAACTGGGGAATACACACTGACACTATTCGAGAGATCCTGAGAGGTAACGGGGCGGGGGACAACTGAACTTGGGAATACACACTGACACTATTCGAGAGATCCTGAGCGGTAACGGGGCGGGGGACAACTGAACTTGGGAATACACACTGACACTATTCGAGAGATCCTGAGAGGTAACGGGGCGGGGGACAACTGAACTTGGGAATACACACTGACACTATTCGAGAGATCCTGAGAGGTAACGGGGCGGGGGACAACTGAACTTGGGAATACACACTGACACTATTCGAGAGATCCTGAGCGGTAACGGGGCGGGGGACAACTGAACTTGGGAATACACACTGACACTATTCGAGAGATCCTGAGCGGTAACGGGGCGGGGGACAACTGAACTTGGGAATACACACTGACACTATTCGAGAGATCCTGAGCGGTAATACGAGTCATATTTCACATTTAGGCGATCTATTGAGGATTGAGATGTTTAAATTAATGACACTACAACTGATACGTTGCTCACAAGGAAAAAAATGACGAATACACAAAAGAATGAGAGATAAGAAACTCTTAAATTACAATGAAAGAGGAATACTTCTGTATCAGAGACAAGAAACACTTAAAATGGAGCAATTTAGTATCGTAAATGTAAGTATAAGAACAGAAATACACTAAAACTGAGACGATTTGCTGTAAAATTAGAGACTAAAGACACTAACACTGCGACGATATGCTGTGATATTAGAGACTAAAGACACTAACACTGCGACGATATGCTGTTTTATAAGAGACTTAAGACGCTAAAACTGAGACGATATGCTGTGATATTAGAGACTAAAGACACTAACACTGCGACGATATGCTGTTTTACAAGAGACTTAAGACGCTAAAACTGAGACGATATGCTGTGATATTAGAGACTAAAGACACTTAAACTGAGACGATATGCTGTGATATTAGAGACTAAAGACGCTAAACTGAGACGATATGCTGTGATATTAGAGACTAAAGACCGTAAAACTGAGACGATATGCTGTTTTATAAGACACTTAAGACGCTAAATCTGAGACGATATGCTGTGATATTAGAGACTTAAGACACTAAAACTGAGACGACATGTTGTTATATTAAAGACTAAAGACGCTAAAACTGAGACGATAATCTGTGATATTAGAGACTCAAGACACTAAAACTGAGACGATATGATGTGGTATTAGAGACTAAAGACGCTAAACTGAGACGATATGGTGTGATATTAGAGACTAAAGACACTTAAACCGAGACGATATGCTGTGATATTAGAGACTAAAGACATTTACACTGAGACGATATTCTGGAGATATAGAGGAGGAGACGCTGTTTCTAAAATGAACATTCATGGAACAAAAAAATTAAACATAGTGGGACAGGAGGCTTTCGAAGTGAAGAAATGATGTAACGAGATATAAGAAAAGTATTAAGTCAAGACAAATATTGACCTTTTCTGAACACATACTATACCGTGTGTTATTGGTGTTAATAGCTCAAAAATACAACGCAGAGCATAACCAGTCAAATTTGAACACGAGGAAATCAGATCGGTGTTCTCATCTTTTCAAATGGTAGTTCTCACATTGGAATATGTCTTGAAATCGCTTACAGAAATAACAGGAGCTTTTCTCCTCGGCAGAGCAAATTGTATGTACTACACGCCAGCCTGCAGCGATTAAGGGGAAGCAACTCGTAAAAATATCGACTATGTAGAAGCTATGTAGGAGTTATAATAGTCAGGACAAAAAAAAAATAGCTGACGCAAGTTTGTGATACAGGGATATAACTGCTACATGTAAACACCACAAGTTTGTGATACAGGGATATAACTGCTCCATGTAAACACCACAAGTTTGTGATACATGGATATAACTGCTACATGTAAACACCACAAGTTTGTGATACATGGATATAACTGCTACATGTTTATACCACAAGTTTGTGATACATGGATATAACTGCTACATGTTTATACCACAAGTTTGTGATACATGGATATAACTGCTACATGTTTATACCACAAGTTTGTGATACATGGATATAACTGCTACATGTTTATACCACAAGTTTGTGATACAGGGATATAACTGCTACATGTTAATACCTTAACACAGGTCGATAATTATACAATATATTTTGGATATCTAAACAGGGTTCCTTTACATATATAATTATTATGATACATACATGTCCAGGCCAATCCCTTTTTGTAGTTTACATAAATGGTCTTCCGGAAACTATTCACGCAAGAACATATTTATTTGCAGATGAAACGAAAATTTACAGTCATAATGATAAATTGAATCTCCAGAAAGATTTAGATAAGTTTAAACAATGGTCTGATAAATGGCTCTTGAAATTTCACGCGGACAAATGCAAAGTTCTGCACGTAGGAATGAAAACCGATAATACACAGGTAAACTTATATAGAGACGAGGGAAATGGAAGAGTCGAGGTTACATTAGATCAGGTAACAAAAGAAAAGGACCTTGGAATTATAACAGACAACAACCTTAATTTCAACGAACATATTCATGATGCAGTCAATAAAGCCAATAGAATAATGGGAACCATCCGAAGAACATGCACGTACTTAGACAAAAAGTCGTTCTGTCTTTTATATAAATCGCTTGTACGTCCGCACCTTGAATATGGGGCCTGAGTGTGGAATCCCTATCTGCAAAAAGACATAATGAGATGGAAAAGGTACAGAGAAGAGCAACGAAACAAATACCGGGGATGAAAGACCTAAACTCTGAAAGCAGGCTAAGGATCCTTAAATTACCGACACTGAGGCACAGAAGATTGAGAGGAGATATGATTCAAGTATACAAACTAACACATGGAGGATATGATAGGGCTGTCGCGGAGGATTTCCTGATACAAAACAATAACAAGATAACAAGAGGGCACAGTTTTCCAGTATTAAAAAGGAGGAGCAGACTAAATCTGAGGAAGTATTCTTTCTGTGAACGGGTAGTAAACCACTGGAATTCACTTCCTAATGTCGTTGTAACGTCACAAACAATCAAAACTTTCGAATTCCGATTGGATGAATATTGGAGGCAAACTGCATGTGTTTATAATAATGAACTGGACAATAACACACTGATCCATATCCGGGATACTCATACTTTTAAACTCTGGATATATAGGCTAAATAGGCCTGCGTCCAGTATATTATTATTATTACTATTATTATTATTATTATTATTATGTACATGTTGTATGATATATATTATATTCCTTTTTGATTTATTGAGTTATTTCCCCTTAAACAGTTTAGCCACTTGGAAATCTGTCATCTTATACTTTACAGACAACATTATCATCCTTTTTGTTAACGTTTGCCAATTCTTTAAATATTCAGGTATCATATATATATATTACATAACAATTCCATTGTCACGAAAGTGGAATGTAAGGCTCCATAGACACCACCGTAATGATCAATAGACCCTTTATATTATCGTTAATTCAAACAGATAATACTTGATACTCTCTGATGAGACAGGGTTTCCCACAGGAGCCTCTTGTGTCGTGCTATTCCGGTCTCAGATATTTTATCACCAGCTTCCTTAAGAAGTGAAGAACCTGAGAACTTGGTAAAGGTGTAATAGGACCTATCCCGTGGTATTCCTAACATTGTTTTGTGGGGTTTAGCTAGGTAAGGATTTATAGTTATATATTTAATTATCTAACATTTATAAGTCCAATTCAAATACAAATATATTAAGTTCTCCTGTCTTCGTGGCTCGAACAATGTTAAATCAGTCATGTCCCTGGCTGTTTCAAATTATTGTTTGTGAGCAATATATGTATGTTTATAAGTAATACCAGCTTGGATAGTTAGCGGTTTTTTTCTCAGACTTTAGCAAAATGTGATAAACTGACCCCCAGTGACATGATATACAGTTCTAGGATAAACACTGAGTGTTTGCTGTGATAAGCTGACTCCCAGTGACATGATATCATTACAATCTTTTTATTAGTGCTAATATCAAGTTTAATTAATCTAACTTTAAAATAAGTTTTAGAATATCATCTGTATTAGTTGCATTATATTCCAGAACATGTATTGATTTAAATGTGTTATGTTAGAAAATTAAGGGATCTTATGAGGAAACAAGTGTTGAAAATCATGTGTGAAACTTAATCACAGCTCGAGTGAAGAGGTACTTCAACTACGAAATGAGTTACGCGAAGTATAGAAAACTCGTCATACTACCAGGAAACATTATTCTGATCGTTCACGTGATTAATACTCAATGCGGTCCCTCCTGGGTATTTTTTTTCAATGATATAGTATACACCTTTCATTCTATTTTCTATAACCGGTAAAGTGAACAGGAAAGAGACCAACTGTCTTTACACTAAACAGGTATGTTTTATACACTTCTAACAATTTTATTTGGATTCATATATTTTTTTATTCGATGTAGGTTCTTTTCACTTTTTATCCTATCATATTCATATTTGTTTTATTATTTTTTAATTTAAAATGAAAGTGATAATGGTGAAATACAACGATTAATATGAAAATCATCTTCCAGCTCCTGGTAAGATAGTGTATGTCCACGTTACTCAGGATGAAGATGATTAATTATTTCACGGTTTTAGAACCTATTCTATCTCCATGATTATTTCAACAAATTTTCTTACACAAAAGCCATTAGACAACCAACCGAGCCCATATCAGCCTCCCCCGATATACACAACTACATATTACCAGTAACACAACGTACAATGTATTTTCTGACAGGATAAAGTTAGTTTACCGGGGTATATGTTTGTGATCGTCCAGACACATTGATAGAAAGGTGATAATTTAGACTTTTATCTGAAACTTCTTCATAATAACCTCGACATTATATATAATAGCTTTAAGATATGAAAGCAGGCCCTAGGTCAGAGTAAGGTTAATCACGCCAGTATGATGCTGACTCATCACTGGCTTTTCCAAGAAAACCATGTAACGGTTTTTGCGGAATTGTCCTGGTTTCAGCGACCTTATTGATCGGAAATTCCGGAAATATTGCCGAGTTCTTCTGAACCGCGATTATATAGTACTTATACATGCATCTCACATGTGAGACTTAAACAATTAAATGTGTAAATCCACACAATCTGAAGTTTGGTTATGATTGCACATTTGCAAGTGTATATTGTTATATATATATATATCCTGGGACGTATAATACGTGTTATATACGTCTCTGATATATCAATCGATACTATCCTGCAGCGGTTGTTTGCAGTGAGTCGCTTGCAAACATTCAGTGGAATTTCCATTTTCTAAAACTGAAACTTCTTCATAATAACCTCGACATTATATATAATAGCTTTAAGATATGAAAGCAGGCCCTAGGTCAGAGTAAGGTTAATCACGCCAGTATGATGCTGACTCATCACTGGCTTTTCCAAGAAAACCATGTAACGGTTTTTGCGGAATTGTCCTTTATTGATCGGAAATTCCGGAAATATTGCCGAGTTCTTCTGAACCGCGATTATATAGTACTTATACATGCATCTCACATGTGAGACTTAAACAATTAAATGTGTAAATCCAATCTGAAGTTTGGTTATGATTGCACATTTGCAAGTGTATATTGTTATATATATATATATCCTGGGACGTATAATACGTGTTATATACGTCTCTGATATATCAATCGATACTATCCTGCAGCGGTTGTTTGCAGTGAGTCGCTTGCAAACATTCAGTGGAATTTCCATTTTCTAAAAATAGATCTTCACGGAATATTATGTAGCCCGATATCATCGTAGTCCGAGGGGGTCCGATGGGTTCACGACCCCAAAACACCTTACCGTTACGTAAAACTCCCTCTTTATTTACGTCGCTCTAACCTTTAATAAACAGTGAAGTCAGGAATAAAATACCTTATGAAATACATTATTTTACACGAAATTAACTATTATGATGATTCTCGGAAATAACACTGCCTTTTCTGCGAACTGACACGATTTCTAAATATAGCTTAAAACTGTCGGCTAGCCGCTAGATGATCAGGACATCTGCTTGCAGACGAAATAACACATGAGCGTTTCTTCCGAAGCTACCGTGAGTATGTCAGTGATTAAGGTCTGTTATTTCGGGAAAATCCGTCAAAAATAATCGTCTTGATATTTTTAAAAAATGGTAAATTTCTACGTTTGTTCTGTTGGCTGAAATCGACAGCTGCTGATATGAACTATACTGTCTACATATATATATGTTCCATACACGGTACACTCTGGTCTTAGCTTGTATACTAATTGATTCCTAAATAGACATTTCTTATATCATTGTATAATATGTAATATAATAATATGATAAGATCGGGCAGATGTAGTTAACATGCTATGATGCTGTTTCTGTTCCACGAAATCATACCGACATTTTCCCGGAATACGTTTCATCGATCAAGGCGTGATTTGTCGGAACTATACCGAATGCTTGTGTATAATTTACGTAGTAAGTTTGGGGTGCAGTATTTCGTAGAAGAGTGAAATTATGAATAAATAAGTAAATATTGGCAAACACCAGTTCTAACATACGATATATAACATATAATGTCTATTGTTATATACGGTGATGTTGAGCGGGGTTCACCTCCCCATCAAAATTTTGAATTTTCTTTGGATCAATTTGAATTTTCCTCTGTCACCTCTTAGGTTTCAAAATTCTTGCCCTTAGCACCACGTACGAGTCATTGAAGAATGAAACAGCTGTATGGCACAGTTTAATTCATCGTTTGACTCTACTTTAATTAACTTTAAATTTGTTATTCACCGTGTCTTTTGTACAATGCATATATATGTATTACGCATGACCCAGACTGTTTTTGTTCTAGAATGGATCTTGTTTCACGAAAAAACTTTAGTCATTGTGTGTTTTTCGAAATGTCTGGGATGTTGTTTAGGCTTGCTAACTTGTAACCCGATCAGCTGTGACCTAGGAGGGATGGTCGTATTACTAGTGTAGGGGACATACCGACAATAAATTTAGATATACAATGACTGTAGTGTTAATGTCTGTTAGTAGACCGAGGAAGAATACATCGTGCTTCATTATATTACGTTATCCCGAAACACTAGGATAGAAAAACTACTTATGTCAACAAGTGATAAATAGAACATAATCTGAGTCAACCTGATCTTGTCTGATTCAAAACCTTGATCTGGTCTTGTCTGATCCAAACCCTTGGTCTGGTCTTCTCTGATCCAAAACTTTGGTCTGGTCTAGTCTGATCCCAAAACCTGATCTGGTTTAATCTGATCAAACACCTTGATCTGGTCTTGTCTGATCCAACACCTCCATCTGGTCTAGTCTAACACCTCCATCTGGTCTAGTCTTGTCTACTTTGATACAAAACCTTGGTCTGTTCTAGTCTGATCCCAAAACGTGATCTGGTCTAGTCTAATCCAAAACCTTGATCTGGTCTAATCTAATCCAAAACCTTGATCTGGTTTAGTCTGATCCAAAACCTAGATCTGGTCTAGTCTGATCTTAAACCTTTGGTCTAGTCTGATCCAAAACCTTGATCTGGTCTAGTCTAATCCAAAACCTTGATCTGGTTTAGTCTGATTGAAAACCTTGATCTGGTCTAGTCTGATCCAAAACCTAGATCTGGTCTAGTCTGATCTTAAACCTTTGGTCTAGTCTGATCCAAAACCTTGATCTGGTCTAGTCTAATCCAAAACCTTGATCTGGTTTAGTCTGATTGAAAACCTTGATCTGGTCTTGTCTGATCCAAAACCTAGATCTGGTCTAGTCTGATTCAAAATCTTGATCTGGTCTTGTCTGATTCAAAACCTTCATCTCGTCTAGTCTGATCTTAAATCTTTTTCTGGTCTAGTCTGATCCAAAACCTTTGTCTGGTTTATTCTGATTCAAAACCTTGGTCTGGTCTAGTCTGATCCAAAACCTTGGTCTGGTCTATTCTGATCCAAAACTTGGTCTGGTCTAGTCTGATCAAAAACCTTGGTCTGGTCTAGTCTGATTCAAAATCTTGGTCTGGTCTAGTATGATCCGACACCTTGGTCTGGTCTTCAATCTTTTTCCGGTCTAGTATGATTCAAAACCTTGGTCTGGTCTTGTCTGATCCAAAACCTTGGTCTGGTCTAGTCTGATCCAAAACCTTGGTCTAGTCTAGTCTGATCCAAAACCTTGGTCTGGTCTAGTCTGATCCAAAATCTTGGTCTGGTCTTCTCTGATCCAAAACCTTGGTCTGGTCTTGTCTGATCCCAAAACTTGATCTGGTCTCGTCTAATCCACAAACCTTGATCTGGTCTTGTCTGATCCAACACCTCCATCTGGTCTAGTCTGATCCAAAACTTGATCTGGTCTAGTTTGATCCAAAACCTTGATCTGGTCTAGTCTAATCCACAAACCTTGATCTGGTCTAGTCTAATCCAAAACCTTGATCTGGTTTAGTCTTATTCAAAACCTTGGTCTGGTCTAGTCTGATCCAAAACCTTGGTCTGGTCTAGTCTGATCCAAAGCTTGATCTGGTCTCGTGTGATCCAAAACCTTGGTCTGGTCTTGTCTGATCTGAAACCTTTGGTCAAGTCTGATCAAAAAACCTTGGTCTGGTCTAGTCTGATCCAAAATGTTGGTCTGGTCTAGTCTGATCCAAAACCATTGTCTGGTCTAGTCTGATCCAAAACCTTGATCTGGTCTAGTCTGATCTGAAATCTTTTTCTGGTCTAGTCTAATTCAAAACCTTGGTCTGGTCTGATCCAAAGCTTGATCTGGTCTAGTCTGATCCAAAATGTTGGTCTGGTCTAGTCTGATCCAAAACCATTGTCTGGTCTAGTCTGATCCAAAACCTTGATCTGGTCTAGTCTGATCTGAAATCTTTTTCTGGTCTAGTCTAATTCAAAACCTTGGTCTGGTCTGATCCAAAGCTTGATCTGGTCTAGTCTGATCCAAAACCTTGGTCTGGTCTTGTCTGATCTTAAACCTTTGGTCAAGTCTGATCAAAAAACCTTGGTCTGGTCTAGTCTGATCCAAAATGTTGGTCTGGTCTAGTCTGATCCAAAACCATTGTCTGGTCTAGTCTGATCCAAAACCTTGATCTGGTCTAGTCTGATCTGAAATCTTTTTCTTTTCTGGTCTAGTCTAATCCAAAACCTTGGTCTGGTCTAGTCTGATCTGAAACCTTTGGTCAAGTCTGATCCAAAACCTTGGTCTGGTCTTGACTGATCCAAAGCTTGATCTGGTCTAGTCTGATCCAAAACCTTGATCTGGTCTTGTCTGATCCAAAACCTTGGTCTGGTCTAGTCTGATCTTAAACCTTATGTCAAGTCTGATCCAAAACCTTGGTCTGGTCTAGTCTGATTCAAAACCTTTGTCTGGTCTAGTCTGATCCAAAACCTTGATCTGGTCTAGTCTGATCTGAAATCTTTTTCTGGTCTAGTCTGATGCAAAACCTTGATCTGGTCTAGTCAGATCCAAAATCTTGATCTGTTCTAGTCTGATTCAAAACCTTGGTCTGGTCTAGTCTGATCCAAAACCTTGGTCTAGTCTAGTCTGATCCAAAACCTTAGTCTGGTCTAGTCTGATGAAAAGCCTTCGTCTGTTCTTGTCTGATCCAAAACCTTGGTCTGGTCTAGTCTGATTCAAAACCTTGGTCTGGTTTAGTCTGATCCAAAACCTTGATCTGGTCTAGTCTGATTAAAAACCTTGGTCTGGTCTAGTCTGATCCAAAACCTTGATCTGGTCTAGTCTGATTAAAAACCTTGGTCTGGTCTAGTCTGATCCAAAACCTTGGTCTGGTCTTGTCTGATCCGAAACCTTGGTCTGGTCTAGTCTGATCAAAACCTTGGTCTGGTCTAGTCTGATCCAAAATCTTGATCTGGTCTTGTCTGATCCAAAACCTTGGTCTGGACCTTTCTGATCCAGTACCTTGGACTGTTCTTATCTGATCTTACATTATTGTCTAGTCTAGTCTGATTCAATACCTTGATCTAGTTTAGTCTGATGCCATTAAACCTTGATCTGGTCTAGTCCAGGATCTTGGTTTGCTTAAGTCTACTTTGCATCATTTGTCTGATTTAGTTTGATATTTTCTAATCACGAACCTTTGTCTGACCAAGTCTGGTCGAATTCCTTGGCCTGGTCATCTCTGATTGCCTAGTCTGGTTTTTTCTGGTTTGGTCTGGTCTGGTCAAGTTAAGTATTGTTATCTTTAGTTTAGTTTACCCCCGAAACCTTTGCCTTGACAAATGTGACTCCAAACATTGATCTTGTCTAGTCTGGTATTAAACCTTGGTCTGGTCTTATTGGGTTGAAAATCCCTATTTAGTCATGTCTTGAAAAATCCAAAACATTGTTCTACATATATTTGTAGTCTAGTTTTTAATTACTCTGCTCTGGTCTTAATAAAAATATCGTCTGGTGTAGTCTGGTCACAATCCTTGGTCCGGTCTAGTCTGGTCCAAAACCTTGATCTGATGCAGTCTTGTTCAAATCTTTGGTCTGATCTACTCTGATATAAAATCATGCTCAACGTTTATTCTTGCTGTAAAAACATTGTCTGGTCTGGACCCCAAACTTTCATCTAGACTAAGATGGTCAGAAATCTTCATTTAGTCGAATGTGGTCAAAAACCTTGATCTGGCATGGGCAGATCTGGTCTGGTCTGGTCTGGTCTGAATCCTTGTTCTGGTCAAGTCAGTGGTCTGGTTTGGGCCAGCACAGTTGTTATGGTCTGGTCTGATCAAAGACCTTGGTCATCCCACTACTCTGACCATGTGGTTTACAAGTTTGATGATAGATTTACTTTAGTCCTGTCTTACGATTTAGATCAACATGTTAAACATTCCCCTTAAGTGTTATTTTGTAGCCGCTGCTTCGTTATAGGACACTAGGGGTGTAATTATTTTGATGTAGACAGAAGAGGATTAAAGCATCAGACTTATCCTATCCCCCATTTTCTTGGTAACCTTATAGAGGACGGTAGTCATCATATATATGTACAAGTAGTAACATATTGAAGTAACAAAGCAGGTTCAGAGGAACATTTACGAATTTCTCAAATGTCCCTTATAGGCACAGATTATACCAGATGTCTATGAAGACAGTTAGATTTTGTGTTAGACCTGTACGATGTATCAAACTTGTTTCATCAATTAACAATGGCACATGCTATGAAAGTCAGATACATTTATAAAGTAAAAGCTTTGATACTTTGTGAGGTTGTCGTTTCAAAGTGGTATTTGGATATCGCTGACAGCTGAAACAATGAAATGTTCAAATATATCAAACTAAAACTACTATATAGTGTAAGACTATGGTGTAACACCAATAATACATTCTTTTTGGGGTCAGTATATGGGACAGATGGCTAACTGTGAGAGGAGGGATGGGTGTCATTTTGTTATGTATTGGGTACTTAGAGGCTCTTTTGTTAAGGTATCTGTCTCACGTGATATTGCAACACTTGGTACGTGAAAAAACAAATGACAATAGTTGTTTAACTTATATGTCTTAAACAGTATCATATGACTATTACACTTTAACGTCCTGATCAGTATTATATGACTACTACACTTTGATGTCCTGAACAGCATCATATGACTACTACACTTTGATGTCCTGAACAGTATAATATGAATATACTTGTAACACTTCAATGACCTAAACTACGTTATACAGCTATACTGCAGAATTTTGATGTCCCAAAATATAATGTGAATGTTAAACTTCGGTGAGTTTTATATAGATATACTTTTACCCTTGGAAACACTTAAAAGTTGTTCATTTTTCAGATTTGAATAAGTAGAAAAGTTTATCTACGCCTGTAAAGACATGGTGTGCTGGAAGCTATATCACAACTTTGAGAACTGGATCGGGAAAATCTTTTTCAGGTATGGAGTGTTTGTTGGGACCTATCCTGTGATTGTATTGATCGTTTCCATGTTGGTTTCCGGTCTACTTGGGATAGGTATGATCAATTTAACCGTACAGACGGATGTAGAGAAGGTGTATACTCCACCGAATAGCCAGGCTTCCCAGGACCGTGCATTGCTGCGCGATCTCTTCCGGGACACTTCAGCTGAGGACTTTAACTCCTACAGCAGCATCAATGCTAACCTCTTTGGCAGTGTTATCTTCCGAAGGAAGGACTCATCAAATATGTTGAGTCTCGAAAATATTAGGGAGATTGAAAAAATATATCACGCTATAACAGTGAATGTTTCCGGCAATGGCTTAGATTATTTTCAGTTGTGTGCCGTACAAAATTCAACATGTGCTGTAGATGGCGATTTCATATTTTCCGACGAATTTCAGCGGCTACTTCAGAGTGACAGAATTACCTACCCTGTTTTGGAAAAGAAATACATTGAATCTGTGTTCGGCGATGTTCTGGTAATGGATGGACTATTGAAGTCAGCTAAACTGATTAAGCTACAACTTAACCTTCGACAAGATACCCAGACATACAAAGAGGATTCTAAGTTGTGGGAAGCAGCATTTCTGACCTTTATGAAAAATGTACAGTCTGACACTCTCGACGTATCGTTTGCTCACTCGACATCTTTAGACGAGGAATTATCAGAGAACATCAAAGGCGACATTCTCTTTGTGTCTATCACTTTCACATTGATGATAGTTTACGCCACTCTGGTAACCACTAGCTGTGACCCCATACTTGACCGCCAGAACCTCGGACGAGCAGGTGTCCTTGCCACCGGTCTCAGTATCCTGGCATCTTTTGGCCTGGGCAGTGCCTGTGGTGTGGAATTTGTCAGCATTGCTGGTGTAATGCCGTTTTTGATTCTTGGTAAGTTGAATAGTGTCTTTAAGAACAACTAAAACCATCAAAACAGTGCCTCGTGTTGAAAGGTTGTAGAAAGTATATGCGCAAATGATCTGTAAGGATAAAAAGCCGCGCAGAAACAAAGTTTTTTTTTGTTGATAGATTTTAAAGCGATGATGATATGAAATATAACTCTATAGGGTTATAATGACACAGATATCACTGAATCAGATACATTGTAACAGTATAGTAATTTAACCGTATTAGTCATATAGCAGCTGGATCATCTTCTCTTAATTTTCAGGTATAGGAATAGATGACATGTTTATATTGCTGGCAGGCCTAGCAAATGCCCCTCTGTCTGAGACGGGTCCTAACCGAGTAGGTGATATGATGCGAACCAGCGGCGTGGCAGTTACTATAACATCACTGACAGACATGTTTGCCTTTGGTATTGGAGCCTCCTCTGTCTTTCCCGGTGTACGCAACTTTTGTATTTACACAGGTATGTTATGAATTGATGTGTACCAAACCTATCCATATATAGAACAACTTCAAACTAGTAATATCGTGGTATTTGACGGAATGAAATGACAAAACTGAATGAAACTGAAAATCCACAATATGAAAAATTTGGGTAAAAATGATCTTTTCTCGTATAAATTAGTCTGATCAGTCGCAAAAAATAAATAATTTTGACCCGTATTCAACGTCGAAGGGAAATTTGTTAAAATAATATTCTGGGGGACCGAAAGCTCATCAATCACTTTGAGCGAAATTTCCTGGATGAAGTCTGTCCGAATTATTCAGGGTCATAGAATTAAAGCGACTATAATGTTAAAAAAACACTACGGGAAAACGATATAAAACGTTCTATTTTACAATAGTATGTTACAAAACTAAGTTACAAAACTAAGACTTTCTCTTAATTACTTTTCCGATTGTAATTACCCTCTTTTGGGCCCCACTAGTTTAGCGCCCGCGATTGACATAGATAATTCTCGCACGCGAAAGCCAAACAAAATTAATTACTAAGATTGATTTTTAAAAATGATATATTATAACTCTATAGAATCATTTACTGCAAACTAGAATTAGCAGAAAGACGCAAAAGCAAGTGTCATACATAAGACATACACATAATCCATTTGTTTCTTTGAGGCGGAAATAAAATTACTTCGTCACGTGATAAGCCATGTGACCCACTCGGCTTTCTTCGTAATCAACCGAGCGTGAACATGTTTATAAACAATAGTCAAGATAAACAATGTTCCGACGCCGAAAATATGTACAAAAACAACAAATGTGACGGAGGGGAGAGAGAGAGAGAGAAACGGGAAAGTGGAACAATTGTTTAGATGAATAATATTTAGCCAACATGCCTATTTGAATAAACTTGAGTGAATAGAACGACATTAAAACAATTTGGTATGTGTAGTAAGTATTAAATATATATTTTTATTGTTCTAGGACTGGCGATCTTCTTTTGTTACATAAACTTTGTAACATTTTTTGTCGCTTGCGTCGCGATAAATGAGAGACGGATGGGGGATAAGCGCCATGCCTGCACTTGTATGAGAATTCGACTTAAGGACGAAATGAAAAATGAGTCAAGAATGAAACGTAGTTGTTGTGGTGGAAGAAAGCCTTCGACAAAAGAAGATCTCGAAAGTTTCATTGAAAAAGTTCCTGGGAAATTACTCTCCAAATTTGTCACGTCTTTACCCTTTAAGATCGTCACCTTGGTTGGTTTTGCAGTTTATCTAGGGGTGTCCATCTACGGCGTTACCAAATTTAAAGAAGGTTTCGACATAACTAATCTTGTATCAGACGATTCATACTTCCATGAATATAACACACTTAACCAGCGACATTTCACTCAAAGGATACCTCTGTCGTTTACCTTTACCGAGCCTCTGCAGTATTCTGACACGCGCACTGATTCCGCCATAAGTTCGCTGATGACTGACGTCACCAGTGATAGGTTGGTTGAAAGCCAGATACAGATCAGCTGGTACAGAAGTTACAGGTTTTCAACATTTTTTGATGGTTCATCTGAAGCAAACTTCGTAACAGGATTGAAACCATTTTTGCTCTATAACCCGCAATTTAAGGCGGACATTCTTTTTGACGACAGTGAACAGGTTATTAGGGCTTCGCGAATTTACGTCTTGACCAATGACTTGAAGGATTCCACTGAACAAGGGGAGTTGATGCAACGAATGAGACAAATAACGTCCGACTCGACTCTTCCTGTGACTGTATTCTCTCCACCTTTTATTTTTTATGAACAATATGTAGTGATCGTTAGGTCCACCCTGAAGACCGTCGGCATAGCTGTCTTGGTGATATTCGTCATCACTGCACTTTTCATGCCTAGTCCGCTACTCATACTCTACGTTACCGTAACTATGGTGATGATCATGACTGGAATTTTCGGTTTTATGTATTTCTGGAACTTGACCCTTAGTTCAATAACAATGATACACATCATCATGAGCATTGGGTTCTCGGTCGATTTCAGTGCGCATATCTGTCACGCATACATGACAGTGGAAGGAGACACAAGAGATAAGAAGGTAAAGAATGCCTTACTGCGTGCTGGGGGCCCTATTCTGAACGGTTCCGTGTCATCATTACTTGGAATTTTGATGCTGGTATTTTCTCAATCCTATATTTTTCAGTCGTTTTTCAAGGTGATGCTCCTTGTGATTTTGATTGGAATGGGTCACTCTCTGTTTTTTCTGCCCGTTGTACTGTCCTTGGTTGGTCCCTTTGACAGCCGACGCTCTGGTAAAGGTAACGACTACCATACTCCCAATCAGCAACACAATAACCACGGGAATGGCACCGAGAAAGTAAAACTTTCTGTTGAAGATGACAAAAATACATCGGGTAACCTCATCGGGTCTTACCAGGGGGACCCAGTGTAAGTTTAGTGGTTTCCTTGAATGCGATTAACAAACAATTCTGATGCCAGTTGTTACAACTACTCATTCAAGCTGGGATGGTAATACAGACTCTAAAACTTACCAATTCCGAATACGGTCGACGTAAATAATGGCTTTTGTGTCAATGATTATTCCAAACACTTTAAAATGTGCGTACAGAATTTGATCGAAATTAGAAAGTTTCGTTTTAGACACAAAACATTAGGTTTTTATTGCAATACAAGAACATCATTCCTAAATTCTCATTGAAATTAAATAAAGATTCTTCACTCTACCTCTGTTTACCGTATGCACTTCCAAGGTATAAATACATTTACCTCATAACGTTTACTAATGATAGATATTCAATTAAAGCAATATTTAACTTGATATTAACTTTTTTTTGTTTACAGAAAACTAATATTTATATTTAACTTTTATTTACTGCTAATGTTATATTTTATTTTAATGTTAAACCTCATCCTTATTTTTGTACTTAGTTTTTTTGTATTTAAACCTTTCAGTATTGGGTTTCTGTACTTATAGTGTTAAGTGTTTCTGCTCGGGCAGAACGTGTATTATTTTAGCCTTAAGGCCTTGATGTGCATTGCCAAATTTGGAATTGACCGGAAAACAAATTGGCTCGTAGGCGGCCATGTTGGATTTTGACTGTGAAACTTTTAGACCACCATGGCTCTTTTTCGTATGTCACATGTAGGTCTCCCTTGGTCACTAGTTATGACGTTTTGATTTTGGAACGAACTGATCAGAAAGATGACTGACCGACGACCTTACTGGATTTTGACTGTAAAGGTTTGATACCGCTCTTTCTTGAGGATTAGATTGCACGTTTCCGAATTCTATTTATAGGTTCCCTTACCATCTTGTAATATCCTTTTGATTTTGGCAGTGATTAGAAGAACACAATGGTCGATGGGCGACCGATTTGACAATTAAATATTATTATCGATGTTCCTTCAGAGGGATCTCATATTCCATTAAATTAAGCAGAAAGAGAAATAATCAAACTAACAAAGAACAAACTAGCCCCCCCCCCCCCACGTCCCTCAGTTGCTGTTGATCATCATTCGTTATCATCCGTAATAACACAGGATTGTGATAAAAGGACGACTACAGGATAGTCATAACGTACTCGGGTGCTCCAATTTCCTCCCATGCGACTATCCTACTTCTACTTTAAAGAAAATCCAATATGTACGTTTGTACATTGGGATGTTTCTGTGATCGATATATTATAGATATAACATAACCTGTTATCATTTTCATTCCGTAATACAATCTATGACGAAAGTAAATCGGATGAGCATTTTTACCAGTGTATCATTGGAGACAATGGCAAGGCATATAAACAAGAGTAATGAAGTAGTATCCGGAAACCGTTTGGTTTGAAGGACTAAGGTCGTTAATAAATATTTGTTGTTGATATTTGTGTTGTTTGATATGTTTATATTCTACACCACTGAAAATTGTTTATAACATTATGTCCGCTACTGCTAGTATCTAACGTTTGTAGATAATGAATTAATCTTTCTATTACAGTTAAACTTCGTTAAATGAACTCTTATATCTGGAAGACCCGGTATAATTCGACGAATTTCGTCAGTTCCGGCCAAACTTCACACTGAACTTTCGAACTTACTTAAAATCGAATAGTCTGATAACTCGAAGTTTTCCTATGGTCTCGTCGACTTCGACGTAACGAGGTTCGACTGTATGTAATTTTGTGAGTTTAATTTCTCAGTTCCTGACGAAAAGGATATTCTTGATTTGAGCGTCTATGGGAATTTGTTGACAACTAGTAAACGTTTCTATTATATATAGGTGAAATTTTAAAAGATGGTAACTATCAATACTAATTTGATATGAAAGTCGCACGATTTTTGATGTTGTAAACTGATATAATTCAGAGGAAGTTTAACTACAATCACCATATGAGGTAGGCTTTTAGCCTACCATCATCAAATAGATCTGCGTCCGTGGTCCTCCCGTAAACAATTTTTGTTATCACTATTTCTTGAGAAGTACTGGATAGATCTTTCTCAAATTGCATATGTAGGTTTCACTTGGTCCCTAGTTGTGCCCGTTTGATTTTGGGACTGATAAAAAAAAAGGCCGACATGCACCCATCTTGGTTTTTTTCAATGAAGTTCGTTATCGCTATTTCTTGGAAAATAACAGATGGATCTCTCTCTAATTTCATATATGGGATTCCCTTGGTCTCTAGTTGTGATAATGTGATAATGCAATTTTGGAACTGATCAGAAAAACATAATAGGCGAAAAGCGGCCATCTTGGTTTTGAGTTTTAAACTTTGTTATCGCTATTTCTTGAGAAGTACTTAATGGATATTTCTTAAATTTCATATGTAGGTCCCCCTTGGTCCCTAGTTGTGCCCATTTGATTGAGGTTCTGATAAAGAAACAAAATGGCTGACAGACGACCATCTGGGATTTTGACATTGCAAGTTTATTAGCGCTTTTTCTTGAGAACTGCTGGATAGATTTTTCTCAAATTTTATGTATAAGTTTTTTTTGGTCCCTAGTTGCTTCCATATAATTTTGGGACTGATAAGATATACAAAATGGCCGACAAGTGGCCATCTTGGATTTTGAATTTGAAAGCTTGTTATCGCTATTTCTTAAGAAGTACTGGATGGATCATTCTTAAATTTCATATGTAGGTTCTCCTAAGTCTCTAGTTGTGCCCATTCGATTTTGGGTCTTATCAGAATACAAAAAGGCCGAAATGCTGCCATCTTGGATTGTGACTTCAAAAGATTGTAATCGCTATTTCTTGAGAACTACTCTATAGATCTTTCTTAAATTTCATATATAGGTTCCTTCTGGTCCCTAGTTGCTCCCATATAAGTTTCGGAATGAGTAGATATACAAAATGGCCGACAGGTGGCTATCTTGGATTTTGACTTCAAAAGTTTGTTATCACTATTTCTTGAGAACTACTCTATAGATCCCTAGTTGTGCCTGTTTGAGTTTGGGACTGATGAAAAACAAAAATGGCCGACAGGCAGTCATCTTGGATTTTGCCTAGTGAAGATTGTTATTGCTATTTCTTAAGAAGTACTGAATGGCTATCTCTGAAATTTCATACGTATGTTCCCTTTGGTCTCTCCTTGTTCTCGTTTGTTTTTGGGACTGATCAGATAAAAAAATGGCTTCCATGCGGCCATTTTGGATTGGCAGGTAAAGATTATCAGAGCTTTTTCAACAAAGGACTATTGAAATGTCTTATCATTAAGTGCAAAATACAGAGAAGAGAAGAGAGGGGAATGGAAAAGAGCATATAAAGATCAAACAATGGTGGGCGCCAAGATCCCTCGGGATCTTTTGTTCATATATAGGACACCTACTTCCATTTCAATCCTATGGTCACAATCTGAAATGGCTGACATTCAAACGTTCGCTTCAAACGAATTGCTATTGGCCTACCTTTCTTCTTATTGTTTGCTAGTATACACGACATATTTAGGTATAGAGCGTTATCTTATAGCAACTTGCAGTTTATAAAGGAGATACGTATTCAGACTATCTTCTTTCTTACATGTTACATATAAAATGACAGCGTATATATTTACTCTGATTTTAATTTGCCGTTAAAAATAATTAGTGATGTTTCATATTTGACCGTTTCAAGTCAAACAAATTTACATAAACACCATTAAAACGAATCTTTTCTTCCTCGATCCTGTAAATCGTCGCCCGATCGTTTACATAATTTTCCCTATTTGGAGTAATACAGTGGGCCCTAACATCAATTTTTTTCACACCAGATTTGAAATTAACATTTCACTTAAATTTCAAAATCTTATCGACAGATACTGTATCAAAAATTGATAGAACATCTGTTATTGATGGATCATGATTCAGACAAATATACAAATTGCAGTGAACGAAACAAAATAAAATTGATCTATAGACCTGAACATTCTCTCTTGATGATAGTAAGTCATAATATCATCTCTTTTTCTTTGTAATTTATGAAGTACATAAATTGCAACTCATATAAAACAACACCTAACTACTGATAGACAGGGATATAATATTTAACCTCTTATAAATGTAATAATAAATCAATTATTACTTTATGTTAATCAATATTTATGCAATAACATTTCACCTTCTAGATGTTTTGTAATTAAGTTTGGAAATACCAAGTGCTGAAGAAGGTTAAGTTTTCTAAATCAGTGACAGTAAATTCTAAAAACAATTATTCTACAGACAAAACTCATGAAATGGAAACTATTTTCTACCAGAACTTCTAAAATTGTATACCAGTCACCAATCTAGCAATTCCCCAGGGTTGTCAATAAAATGTCTTCCAAATTTCTTTTCTTACTCCTCGTAACATGTCAAAGACGTCGGGGTTTGATTAACAACAAATGTTAACCAGTAGGGGGTCACCTGACTGACCATGTGAATTTCCCCCTTGTACTCCAGTTTCCTCCCATTTCAAGATTCCTCGCAGGCTTACATCTAGGCTACCAAGAATGGAATATGATTGAACAATCATGATTTCCCTGAACAATACCATAACAAGACCTCGTCTCAGTTTCCACAAGTGGAGCATGCCTGAAATGATCTTGAAATGTTCCTGATCAAGTGTTGTTATTTTGGAGTAGGTCTGAAATCCAATATGGCCCCTATGGCCGCCATCTTGATTTTAAAACATTTTGATTCCACAGGTGCCATGAAGTTGAAATTTTGATAAGAAACTGAAATGAGGAGTGTTTTCAGGTCATCTGACCCGCAGGGTCGAGATGACATATTGCTATCATGCATTGTTTATCGTCTAGCAGCTTCCGCAATCCGCCATACGTAAACTTTTCCTTTAAAACACTATTCCTGGTTAACACCGCAGCGAATTTCAACCAAATTTGGTTTGAAACATCAAATTTTGTCTATAACATCAGTAGTTGGCAAATAGTTCTTACATTCAGGAAGTTGATTCGACCCCTAGGGACTTGGGGGCATACTCTTCTAGCATAGAGAACAGTGAATTGTTGATTTCTTACGATGAAATTTATCATATAAATGTGTTGCGAAGAAATAACTGACTTAAATCAAATAAACTACAGATATGTACATACCAAAATCCAAGAGAAGTTAACTGGGTCACCAGGTCAAAGGTCAGAGTAACATTTTAACTAGAACGTATTTTATTGGCAAATATTTTGTTATGCCATTTTTAAGCAAAGCTCGCCAGAAGCAAATAATCATAAGTTGTAGATGAAATTTAGTCTAAAGACTGAACATGTTAGTTTAGGGAGTTGCCAGTTGTGTAATCCAGATAACGGAGGATTATATAACTTTAAAGTGAACTTTTACATCTCTCCTTTATATTTATCATTATGTAAAACAGGAGCTTTATAGATTGTATGTTCTACATCTAATCATATTTCTAAATAAACATGTGATTGTACTTTACAAACAAAACGTGTACAGTACTTCCAGTACTTTGATTTATTAGAACAAATAGTGATACATGGATACAGGTGATTGTTCATGCTTTTTCTATAAAACAGTGAATTTGACGTGAAAATCGTATAATTTAATGTTGATATGTTCGCTGTAAATATGACGTTTTTAACTCGAGGATTTTCTTTCTCTAAATTGTAGTAAAATACATGTTTTCAAATTCTCGACTTGTTTTAAAATCGGATCTACAAAGTAGCGTCATCTTCGTATGAAATGGAGCCATTTCTTTTACATTAAGATATAGTCATCACGGTTCCTGATGATCTGATGATGTTAATTCTTTTTTCAAGTATTTTCAAGTAAATGTTGATCAGTTGGCATTTAACAACACTGTGATGTAATATTTTATAAAAATTATGAAAGAAATATCAACCTACAATAGTTTATCTTCTCAAACATTCGGATATCGCGGAACGTATTTAAAATTGTCGCAAGATCATTATATTTTTCAAATAATTTCCATTCGTCAGAGGAAATACTTTTCAAAAGTAAGCACGGGTAATTCATCAGATGGTGTAAGAAGAATGTTGCATAATTTTGACCTGATTATCAGCAGCGCAGTATTGCATGCTCGATTTTCAAATGTGATATGAAACATCTTGCTCTATACACCAATATCAGGTAAGTCGACATTTTTTCACGGAATGCCTTTTTTGTCGATAAATGTACCATGCTTGGGGTACATAACATTTTAAATAACTAAATCAACTAGGTTTATGTAATTACAAATCAGCAAAGTGGAAAACATGTCACAGAGAAATAAGGGAATCAGTCTTTCGTTGTCTAAAGGATGGACTGAGGAAACCCGACTCTCCACATTTGAAAAGAAATATTGGAAACAATATACCACGAGAGACATAAACCAAATCGAAAATTCGACACGGAACATATGTGGATGCATATAAACGGAATTAGTGAGAATAAACTACAC